CCCCCTCGCTCCCGCCTCCCCACCCACGGAGACTCTCAGACCCAGGCCCCCTCCCACACAAACCTCTTTGGGACGTCGATGTTCCTGGAGACTGGCCGGTAGGCCAGGGCCTGGGCCCCGAGCGCTGGGGCTGGTGCCTGGGGGGCGGGGCCCTGTGGGTCCGCCAGCCACACCTCCTCTGCTCTGCAGCTGATCTGCAACTTCTGGTCCAGCAGCCAGACGGTCACCTGGTCCTCTGTCCAGCTGTGCTGCTCCACCAGCCCCGTGCACTCCTGAGCCCTGTGCCACACGTGAACCTGGGGGAGGAGGGCAGTGGACAGTGGTCAGCCCTGGGTGGGGCTCCCCGACATCCTCACACGCCCCGAAGTCTGGGGAGCCAGGGTCTGCCTGCCACAAACAGTGTTCTCTGACGCACTCAGCTTTTTTTCTTTTTTTTTTGAGTTGGAGTCTCACTCTGTCGCCCAGACTGGAGTGCAGTGGCCGCTCCAGCCACTGCAGCCTCGACCCACTGGGCTCTGGTGATCTTTCTGCCTCAGCCTTCCGAGTACCCGGAACCATAGGCGCGCGCTACCACGCCCAGCTCATTTTTTGATTTATTATAGAGATGAGGTCTCGCCAAGTTGCCCAGGCGGGTCTCGAACCCACGGGCTCAGGCAATCCACTCACCTCAACCTCCCAAAGCAAGGGATTACAGGCTGAGCCACTGAGCCTGGCTTGTTTTACATTTTTATTTTAAAGACGTGGGGTACAATTCAGGGCTAAGTATAAAAACGTTGATTATGCAGGTACCCTCGTGGATGAGGTGTGCCCCTCCCTCCCCAGCAGTTTCCCTCAACTGCCAATCCCAGCCCCCTCCCCTGGCAGTTTCCCACTACTGCCAATCCCTTCCTTATAGTATCATGGTCAATGTTCAGGGTCCGCTTATGAGTGAGAACATATTGCACTCTGTTCTTTGTTTCTGTGACAGATCACTGAGTATGATCAACTCTAAATCCATCCAAGTTGCTGCGAAGTCCTAGTGTTTGTCCTTTATGGCTGCGTCATATTCCCTTGTGTGTAAGTACCACTGTTTTTTTATCCAGTCCAGCTTCGATGGGCAGCATGGTTAGTTCCATGCTTGTGCTACTGGATGCACTCATCTTTCATTGGAGCAGATGTTCCCAGCTACCTGCTTCCCACCTGAGCACCCAGACTGGCCACGATGGACCAATTCTTTCCCACACAGGACCTAGTAAACTCTCTGGAATGGGAGACAGCAAACATGCCCGTTTCTGGGACTTTCTCTGAATCTGGAATCCACGTCCATCCACCTGACTTCTCGTCCTGCCTTGCCTCTGAAGTTCTAGCCATCTGCTGGTACCCAACTACTGCCTTGAATCGCTCATACCCTACGCTTTTCTTTTCAAAGAATTCCAAGTCTACCGGTAGGGGCAGAGAGGCAGGCTTACGTCCCTCAAGGGGTACCTAAGTTTGGCAAGTCTCCTTCCCTCACGAGAACAGAGGCCTGGAGGGGACAAAAATCAAATACGTTGATTATGCAGGTACCCTCGTGGATGAGGTGTGCCCCTCCCTCCCCAGCAGTTTCCCTCAAAAATAAATCAAAAATTCAGCCGGGCGTGGTAGCGCATGCCTGTAATTCCGGCTACTTGGAAGGCTGAAGCGGAAGGATCGCCGGAGCCCAGCAGGTAGAGGCTGCGGTGGCCGGGAGTGGCCGCTGCACTCCAGTCTGGGCGACTGAGTGAGACTCCAACTCAAAAAAAAAAAAGGAGAAACTGAGCTATGGACATGGCTTTGAGCTGAGGCTTTGCACAGGCCAAAGCCCACAACGTCAGATGCCAGGTCCTGCCACCTTCTCCTACAGAAGACATAATCCTGGAGGAACCCTGGATCTGCTGACGATGACACATTCCCTTGGGCTGCCTGTGAGCCCACGTGACTGGAGGCAAAAGGTCTGCACTCACAGTGGTGCCCAGAGTTTCCAGCCTGTCACTCGGGCACCCCTGGTCTGCCAGCCCCACGACTTGTGAGATGGGACGCCTGTCCATATTGGAATCAACCTACCTTCTGCCCAGGCTGAAAGGCTACCTGCTGGAGACCTGCGGTGCTGGGAGCCTTGAGAACTTCCTTGGGCTGCTCCTGGCAGGAAGTGTCCTCAGAGGTGAGGAAGGGCCGGGGAGGTGCCCCCTCCAGCAGTGGCTCCAAGGGCGGGGTGATTCCTGATGGTGCGTCCGAGGCACTGGGTCCTAACACCCGAGCTCCCAGGAGGGACCGCTTTCCAAGGCGCCGGGACAGCACGCTGGCCATGCTGCGACCTCACCTGTGGAGACAAAGGGGACACTGAGCTCTCTGTCCATCGTCTAGAGGAATCAGGAAGCTTTTAGGACAGAGCCCACACACAGCAGGAGGCATTTAACGGGTGCCCACTAAAATGAATGAAACATTTTAAAGTAACTTTTACCAGCAGGTCGCAGTGGCTCACACCTGCAATCCCAGCACTTTGGGAGGTGGAGGTGAAAGGATTACCTGACCCAGGGGTTTGAGACCAGCCTGGGCAACATGGTGAGACCTCATCTCTACAATAAATCCAAAATTTAGCTGGGCATGGTGGCTCGCACCTGTAGTTCCAGCTACTTGGAAGGCTGAGGCAGAAGGACCACCTGAGCCCAGCAGGTCAAGGCTGCGGTGGCCATGAGCATGCCACTATACTCCAGCCTGGGCAACAGAGTGAGACTCCAAAAAAAAAAAGTAACTTTTACCACTTTTTCTTTTTATAAAAGTAATATCCATTTTTAGCAGGACACCTAGAAAATACTAATCAGCATATAGAAAAACAATTCACTTATGAACCTGTGTCCTAGAAATGCCCTGTCTTCCTATATAGCAATCCATGCTTCCTTCTACGCATGTAGTCACACATTTTTATTTCCATAAAAATGGGATTGGGCTAGGTGCAGTGGTTCATGCCTGTAATCCCAGCACTTTGGGAGGCCAAGGTGGGAGGACTACTTGAGCGCGGGAGTTCAAGACCAATCTGGGCAACATAGCAGGATGTCATCTCTACAGAAAATTCAAAAAATTAGCTGGGCATGGGGGCACACGCCTGTAGTTGCAGCTCCTTGGGAGGCCAAGGTGGGAGGATCAGGAAGTTGAGGCTGCTATGAGCCGTGATCGTGCCACTACATACCGGCCTGGGGCAACAGAGTGAGACTGACAAAAAAAAAAAGGGAGGGACAGGGCTGTTGTTTGAGAAGCTGAATTTTAATTTAATTGTGTAAGTTTTACTGGCTCATCAAATGTCATTCTCTAAAAATATGCTTAAAAGCCACACAGTATTTAGGCGGATGCACCACTGCTCATTTCGCAAATTCCTCGCCATGGTGCCTGAAGGCTGTACCCAGCGCTTAGCTGCCTCAATGGCCCCGCCTGTAGTGACCATCCTCAGAAGCCAACCTCAGCACACACACCAACGACCGCTTCCTTAGGCAAACGTCCTGGATGTGACATGACTGGGTTTGTCGGAAACGGGCAGGTTCTCAAGCTCAGTTGGTTCTGATGCTGCCAAGAGGCCCAGAAATGAGCCAGGCCATTCCCCCATCCTGCAAGTGAAGAGACGAACGCTGACAGCATGAGGGGCTCGTTCAGGTGACAAAGGTAACGGTGCCAGAGCCCCAACAGGCCTCTCGAGGGGGTCCCTACCAGGGGACCCAGCTGCCCCCACCCCTGCTCCCGGTCTGCGTGTGCTGGCTGAAGGGGAAGAATCAGACCTGGCACTCGGTAAGTTCACGCTGCCCACCCCCTGCAGAGTGCTCGAGGTTCCTGGACTCCACTGTTCCCTCCCACTCGCTAATTCAGTTAATATTCACTTGAGGAGCCAGTCTCGGTGGCTCAGCCTGTAATCCCGCGCTTTGGGAGGCTGAGCTGAGAGGACTGCCTGAGCCCGTGGGTTCGAGACCCGCCCGGGCAACTTGGCAAGACCTCATCTCAACAATAAATCAAAAATTAGCCAGGCGTGGTAGCGCACGCCTGTAATTCCAGCTACTTGGAAGGCTGAGGCAGAAGGATCACCAGAGCCCAGCAGGTGGAGGCTGCGGTGGCTGGAACGGCCACTGCACTCTAGTCTGGGTGACAGAGTGAGACTCCAACTCAAAAAATATATACATATTCAGTTGAGGAAGGGATATGGGCAAAGTGCCTCCCAGGTGCCATGGTGCCATGCAGTTAGAAAACACCAGGTTTTCACAGACCTCAGCACCCTTTCTGGCTTCCCCACACGGAGCGCCCACCAGGCCAATTTCACCCAGAGTGTTAAGCCTAGCATTCCAAGAGACTGACTGTTCAGGACATTCCTCTTCCTCCCTCTCTTCCTCCTCCCACTCGACCCCTTGCCGCACTCACATCAGAAACACCTGTCAGCATGGCTGGCCGCTCAAGCTGTCTTGGGACAGTCCTATATACCTTTCCTTTTTACCCTTGCCCAAAAGTGCCCTGGGACTCTGTGTGGGTCCCCTGCCATCTCCACATCACCCAAGCCCTGTCCTCTTTCCGAACCATTCCATAGCAACGCTTGGGTCTGCTGTGGCTCTGTGCATTCCGACAGTGCCTGCCCGTTTTGAGACGGTTTGAGACCTTGCCCTCCTCCATCCAAAGCAAGGTTATAGAAATTTCAGGCAATACTTTGGGAAAAAAAAAAAAAGAACCATTTCAGCAAGGTAAGCTAGCAAATATCTCCACAAGAACAAAACTCGAATGGCAAAATGAATTTTAAAGGATAATAATAAAGTTACAAGCATTGAGCAAAGAGGCAAAATGCCGGTTTTCATGAGCACTTTACTCAGAGCCTCAAGGGCTGGAATCGAACGCACAGTATCTCCACCATGGATTCTCTACATAGCAAAGAAGAGGAAAAGGGCTGGAGTCATGGACTGCAGACAGAGTTCCTGTAGAGGTGTCTGGGAACTTGACAACCAATGACACTCTCTACGAAAGTCTCGGCATAATGATAAGGATCACTACCCCCAAAAAATGTACCCCCACACTAAATCTCAGCCACCACCTACCTACCTCCGTGCTTGAAGCCTCCGTCTAGAATTGAGAGCCTCTGACTCTCAGTTTAATGTCAAAGTACTGGTCGGATCCTGAGGGCAAATCGCAATGCCGCATGAAGACATCAGATGGCAGCATCGACCCAGAGAAAGAAACGAGGCTTTTCTCGGCAAAGGAAAAAAACAACCCTCCAGGGGCCCCCCCTACTTTCCAGAGCAGGAAGTTTGGGGTTTCTACCACTGAAAATGAAGAAGGGGTAGAATTTCCTAAATTCCTGCACTCCCAGCCCTCAGACGGCGCCTGAAATGTTGGGCCAACAAACTCTGGCAACGTTTTTGTGAGCCTCTTTCTTCCTGTTTAAATCCCCTTTCTACTGTCTGCGGTGTGTGTGCCTGCGGCCTCCCAGCCAGCCGGCCGGGCTCCCTAGAGATGCAGAACGTGCCCGCTTCCGGTTGGTTCCCACGTGTCTGCCTTCACTTCGGCCCGTCTCCTTTAACTGGCCAGAATCCACACCCAAACCCAGTTCATTATTTGTTATTTATAATACTCCTGAATCTTAGTTTTCAAAAGCAGAAGAGAAAAAAGGAAGGGAAACTGCCTTTATTAAGTGCCCACTAGGCACAAGCTTTCATAAACTGTATCTGATTTAATCCTCAGAACAACTCGAGATAAACAAATGAATCTTCTCTTTCTGATGAGGCGACTGAGCCACAGAGAAGTCAGGCTGCCAAGGCTACACAACTGGCCCGCGGCCTTGGGCTTTGAACTTATGTCCCTCTGGTATCAAAGACCACGATCCTGCCATTACTCCGGTAGGTAGGGATCTCTCAAAATAAAACGCACCATTAAGTCGCTTTTCCTCTACATGTGGTCTTTTTTCCCCCTATGTTAGTGAACCTTGACAGGAAAAAAAAAAGTTCCCAGCCTGGCTCCGTGGCTCAGCCTGTAATCCCGTGCTTTGGGAGGCTGAGGTGAGTGGATTGCCTGAGCCCGCGGGTTCGAGACCTGCCTGGGCAACTTGGCAAGACCTCATCTCTACAATAAATCAAAAAATCAGCCGGGCGTGATGGCGCATGCCTGTAGTTCCAGCTACTTGGAAGGCTGAGGCGGAAGGATCGCCGGAGTCCAGCAGGTCGAGGCTGTGGTGGCCGGGGGCGGCCACTGCACTCCAGTCTGGGTGACAGAGTGAGACTCCA